TGGACACTTTCGACTGGAAACAAACTGTCACTATCCCTACAAGTGGTGACAACCTACTGGTCTTAATATTCTGTCACGATATAAGTCCCCTCTAAACCTTTGTGGGTTCTAAGTTTTCAGGTAAGGACCACAAAACAGTGACGTGTGCACTGCCACTTCCACTGAGTAGCAATGCAGCTCATGCCTTGACTTCACGATAAATAATATATAGGAACTATAGTAAGGCAAACTGGGCCTTAGTAGAATGAATGCTAAGATCCTACGAATGGGATGTATACTTCACTACTGATGACCCCTCGAGAGCTCTGAGCATCTTCTACCAGAACTCAAACACATGCTTAGATGCTGTCATTCCACTCCAAACACTAAAGGTTTCCCCACACAGAAAGTCATTCATAAAACCAGAGGATCGTACGAAACTGAAGAGACTCTCAAAAAGTTACTTCGAACGCCACGACTTTGGCACACTAGGTTTTATACTTGACACTTTTAGCTCCATCTCACAGGCTCGAGATTTCCGTACGAACAACGAAGAACTCACCGTAATCAGCCCTGCTAGGGTGTATGCTCTCACAGAAATCTCAAAGAAGTGAATGAATCGCAAAAATCACAGAATAAGTGAACATCCTTTGCAGAGATAAAATTAAAGAATATCAAGGGAAGTGAATGAACGCACTTTTAGAATGTGAGGGTATTAACGATCATGGATGGCACGATTTATACCCACGAGAGATTTAATACCCACAGCTTTTGTAGTATTCGTTCCACGTAGACGAAAGGCAAAGCAAAACGCCAGAATTGATCAGCCAAATTGCGAAGTATATTTCAGGACCAAATCGGAGTGCTTAACTAGCTAGCAATCGTGCACGAACGAACTAACGTAACACGATGGCATGCCAAATGGCGTGGACGCTTGACCATAAGCCTTCAGCTGAACAAGTTGACTTAAATAGTGAGGGTCATCATCCAATGCTCAGTGATGAATGCTGAGGTTAATAATTTCGGAGAATTGCCAACCGCTACACACCAGTATCCTCCGAACTCATAATTACAGCAGCGTAGTGAAGCCAAGCGAACAACACCATATTCGTAGACAATTTTTAAAATGGGAAAGAATGTTGAACAGAATCCTCTCCTGATACTCTTTCCCATAATATTGTATAGTATTGTATAGGGGCACTGCTGCACCTGAAGGCAAACCATCCCCACTGAGGGTAACATTGGGCTCTACCGAGGATGTTGAAAAAGTGTTACTGGCTTCTCAAGTCCTTTCTATAGGGGGGGCCTGTAACATACGTGTTAAGCCAGACAGGCCGTGGAAGGAAAGACAAATGGCGAGGGAGTCGCCAGAGCTCATTCCTTCTGCCTCCATGGTTGTGCATGGCATTCCCGAACTGTTAACTGGGAACACCTGCGAAAAGCATTGTCATGATGTACAACAATGGAGATGTTTGGCATCCCAGATGGCCCTGGGGAGTTCAGGGGCTGTCTCTATTTATAGACTGCCTCGACCCACTCATCTTATGTCAATTAACTCGCCACGTCTGTTAGCTGTCAAGTTCATCTCCCAAGACCGGTTGACTATAGCTCTCCATAGATGGTACGAGACCAAGGACAAGGTCAGCAAACACATTCGCTGCTGCCAGAGCCGGCCTCGCACCCAAAGAAGAGAACAAAGCGTAGTTAAAAAATCCTCAACCCCTAGTCACACTACAGCGGTGCAGCACGGACGATGATAGCCTGTGTCATCCGAGTGCTCCGACTGAACTAGAAGAAAAAAACGCCAACAGGCCGGTTCCTGGGGAATCGGCCAACTAGTTCGTAGGATAACTCCTCAACCGATAGCCAATATCAAGTCAACTACCCCCCAATACGGGGAAGTAGTGAGACTGACTACCAGTTGCCTGTACAGTAATGTGAGAGAGCTAAGAGGCAAAATAGCTTAACTTAGACACCTACTATCACAACTGAACTCCAAAATCATATTACTGACGGAAACCTGGCTAACCCCTACGGTGGCAGACAGCGAAGTCAGTATAAATGATATGGTCCTAGTCAGGCGAGACAGAGACCTGAAAGAAGGAGGTGGAGTCACCATATACGTCGACAAACAGCTCAGATGTGTTCACGCGATGGACCCTCCCCTCACAGAGCTCCCTGACTCCATATGCTGCCACTTCACCGTTGGGTACTGCAAATATCTAGTGGGCAGCATTTATCGATCACCTTCATGTGGAGCAGACCACAACCAGATACCGCTAAATACAATCTCAGCAACTCAAGACATGGGTTATGATCAAATTGTCATAGCTGGTGACTTCAATGCCCCATCTCTTAACTTGGTGTCGGGAAAAGTCCATGATAGATTTGATCGAAATCTGCTGCATGCTATCAGGAAGGCTGGATTCACTGAAAATGTTAAGATGGATACTAGATGGGGCCCTGATGGGAAGTCTTCTAGACTGGATTACGTGCTCACTAGTGACCAGCTACTAGTGGAAAACGTTCAGATCACGACTCCCATAGGTGGTGCTGACCATGTGGTAATAGTACTCGACATAGTCCTCCGCGAGCGATTGCAGTGGGACAATACACAGCCCTATCTGTGTTATAACAAAGCCAACTACACCAAAATGCGAAGACTTCTGTCTGAGGCAAATTGGCTTAAAAAATGGACAGAGCTAACAGTAGAGGAACACTGGAGAGTGGTGAAGGAGATCATTCACCAGGCGGTCTCAGACACTGTTCCTTTAGTCACACCAAAAGCTAGGAAGCAACGTTCATGGCTAAAAAGGGGACACGACGCCTTCTGCAGGCGAAGCGAAAAGCCCGGTTTGCGTGGCGACGATCGAAGAGTTAACCCGAACACGAAGTGTACCTTTGTGGTGAGAGCAGGCTGCTAGCCGATTGGTTGGCACTAATCTACGTTAAGGTCTAGGTCACTAATATGGGCCGTGAACAAGGCTGAGTCAACAACCAATCACAGCAAAGTTAACGTGGCAAAATATGATTCGCAGATAGAGAACTCTGTTTGTCAAGGAATCCCGAAACAACCAATCAGAAGCCTGCGTTTGTCTACCTAAACAACCAATCAGATGACTGCGCTTGTCTATAATAATGTTGTCTGAAATATGTATAAATACGTGTTGATTTTCATAATAAAACGATCTGTTGCCTGGCCCTTGTCTTCTGTTGTTACACCTTGAACTCAGGAATCGATGTAACATACGAGTCTGGAGCGATAGAAGGACATTTCAGGGAAACCTCGCCAATAAGCTTCTCGTGAACCCCAAAAGCCTATACAGGTTTATGTCCGAAAGAAAACCGACCAACCAGGGAGCATGCAATCTAGTGGGTTCTGATGGGAAATCTCTTACTAGTCTTGAAATGGCAGAGACATTCAGCCTAGCCTTTCACAGGCAACTAAACAGTAACGAGGATATTACCCCCACAGAACATCCAGATTACATCGCAAAACCAACGCGCGAAAACCTGCTGGGTACATTTCAAATTACCCCGGCTATGGTACTTGCAAAATTGGGAAGGTTGGCTTCGGGAAAGTCCTTAGGTTGTGATGACATCAGACCATCTGTCCTGAAGCAGTGTTCAGAAAGTCTCTGCCAACCCCTAAGTGATCTGTTCCAACACTCCCTTGATGTAGGGAAACTTCCATGTGAATGGAAACGAGCAATCCTATCCCCTATCTTCAAGGGTGGTGACCGGCAGAATGCGACCAGTTACAGACCAGTTGCTCTACTTCCAGTGATATCGAAAATATTGGAAAGTCTCATTGACGACCACATGAGAAAATACTTCGATGGGACTAACCTTCTTCACGAAGCACAGCACGGTTTCAGGAGGGGAAGATCCTGCGTGACGAATCTTCTACTAGCTTGGAACGATTGGACACTATCCTGGGACGAAAAGGTACCAGCCCACGTGATCTTTCTCGACTTTGCGAAAGCATTCGACACAGTTCACCATGGTCTGCTCCTTCACAAAATAAGCAAGGCGGGTGTTTCTGGAGCACTTCTCGCATGGCTGAAAGATTACTTAGGCGAGAGAGAATTCTGCACCAAAGTCAACCGCATCCGATCATCCTGGCACACCTCGGCATCAGGGGTTCCTCAGGGTTCTATCCTAGGGCCGTTGATGTTTTTGATTTTTATCAACGACCTGCCCTCCCAACTAAACTGCTCTGCGCTTCTTTACGCTGACGACGTAAAGATTTGGAGAGCAATAAACTCATCGGAAGACTCAGATAGATTGCAGGCTGACCTGCAAACTCTGGGAAACTGGGCTCTGGCTAACGGAATGCCTTTCAACCTAAAGAAGTGCAAAGTAGTGCAACTTCATTCCGGCAGGTCACAGAGTGTAAATTACACCCTTGGTGGCCAGAACTTGAGTTGTGTTCCATCAGAGCGAGATCTAGGTCTTATTCTAACAGAAAAGCTAGACACCAGTGGAAATTACTCGAGGGACGTCGCCAAAGCCTACGCAACTTACACTTTATGCATAGGCAGCTGGGAGCTCTCACTCCCGAACTGTTCTTAAGGTTATATAAGGCATATGTGAGGCCACACCTTGAGGTGCATAATATCATTGCACCTCCGCTACTCAAAAGGGATGCTAACATTCTAGAAAGTGTCCAGAGACGAGCGACAAAATGGGTGATCGGCCTCCGCAACAAATCATATGAGGAAAGACTAAAGAAATTAGGTCTTTTCACACTTAGTTACCGTAGGCACAGGGGAGACCTCATCACCGTCTACCAGATCCTAAATGACCAGGCCCACCCAAATAAAAGCATCCTGCCATTAAGTGATTATAGGCTTCCACGAGGTAACCCGCTAAGGATAGCACACCAGAGACCAAAGACTCGAGTGCGATCACATTTCTTTTCGCTTCGTGTTTGCCGTCTCTGGAACGCTTTACCGGCGGCCGTGACTACAGCGCCATCTCTGGAGATTTTTAAGCGGAAGCTAGACAATCATGCAGAAATGCAAGGTTTGTGTCTCAATGGCTTATCCTCATAAAACTTAAAACCACACTGTCAATGGATAAGCGTACAAACTAAATCCCCACGACCTATTCTGCCTTCTCTCACTCTATCTTTTCCTTAGGTCACCTTTATTATTCCACTTATCTCAACCTATATTATCTACACTACAACCTATTATTATTATTATTACTATTCTGCTTTTATGACTACACCGAATGACCAACGGGAGTTAGGTCAAACTCCATTCACGGCAGCAATACAGTCCTAACATACTGCATACTACAAACCACATCTCGACCAATCCCCGCACCACTCCTCTTGGAGTCTACCAGAGCTAAAGCAGTCGAGTGGCGGGACTTACTACGCAGAAGCTCACCGAAGATCTGGAACCTCTACCTCACAATCAAGAAGCGAGCTCAAAGAAATCACTGGTTTATACTAGCTCGTAATCAGGATATTGATATTGAATATGAATATTTCACTTTTCTCGCCTAAATTCACCCAGTTGGTGATGCAGGTTCTTCCACTGGCAGCTATTCAGTGAATTTGCTCGGAACACAATAACCAAAAAAGTTTTTCACTCCCAAGAAAATGAGCTAAAACGTTTACATGTTTGGATTTAGGGACGACATTTTTGAAAATAGATTTCACGAGCGGACTGAGTAAAAGTAACGCTACTTACACTCTGCGCGCATGATTGGCTTGCTTTCGGTGTACTGTATTTTCTCCCTCACTACTTCTGTAGCTCCACTAATTCCCGATCAAAATTTAAAATACAATCTTAAAATCAAGGGACGGCTGTTTTAGATGAGGTAAATTCTCTGGGGTCGTATATGCTTTTCTTTCAACTATAGTTGAATGGTGCTGCGTTAAATGTATTTTCAAAGTCTGGCCAGAAATTTTCTTGCTCTTGGTCCAATGAAAATCACAGCACAAGTGCAAATAAAACTCTGAATTTATCAAACAGTGTTGTATTTTCTTTACTTCCGTCACTCAATGAGTCTGACTGTCTAACATCGGTATGTTGTGTGCGCATAGCGAATAAACCCGTAGACAAAAGGCTGGTGGACCTATGAATTTTGTTTCCGCAAGCATGTTGTTCAATACCATGAAGGATCGAGGAAGTCTTCTGAGACACTTCTCGGTGTGTACGAACGTGATTATGATTGGGACAACTCTTCACAGGTATTCATTTATTTTTCGTATGTATCTCTTCCTAGAATGAAAACAAGCCGAAATATCACAGCCAGTTTTATATAAACGGTAGCGTTTGTGACATAACCGGCAAACATCGAAAATCGGAGGTGCAGTTTTTGTGCTCTGATACAAGCAATTTTCATATTATTTCGGTGGATGAACCTGAAACATGTGTGTATTTGTTAAAAATATCATCTCCAACTTTGTGCATGAATGAACGATTCACTGTAGAAGCTCCTGTCAAAACACAGGATATTATGTGTCATCCTGCTCTGAGTGAATCTGATTATCGTAGCTACCAAGCCTGTGAGTTAATCACCTACATTATTTTTATGTCGAGCATTGTAGTCTTCTAAGTTTGATCTTACAAGTCGTATGCACTTTGTTGCATAAGTTATTTCACTGATGAGATTGTATATCATATGGATTTGTTGTAACTGCGTTGGGTCTTTGTATTTAACTTTTGTGTTATATGCAGGTAACCGTTTCCCATTTACATAATAATCTGTTGGCCTACTCACTCTAATACTTGAGAGCTAGCATGCGCATTCCACTACGCTTACTTTGGATTGGCAGACTGATTTTTATCATCAGCACACGATGAATGCCTGGTACATTAAAAATTGCTTAGGGTAACTGATTTCTAATTGATTTTCGTTTTTATTAAATTCCCCCATGTTTTCAGATGTGTGCTGATAACAAGTGATTGATTTAAAATGATTTGTTTGTAATGTTTTTGATATTCTATATTGTCGAAATGGCGATATTTTGGTGTTAATGCCATAAAGTGTACTAAACTGTTCTCAAGAATCCCATTGTATGATTTTCTTTTGATTTAAGAGTTAATATGTCGAAGGAAATTAACTTCAAATGTGCTACTGAAGTCTTCCCAGTTAAAAAACTGACTCGTAGGTAATAATGTTTCCAAAGTTTATTATATATCACGACAGTGTAGTCAAAGACACAGTGAACTCAGAAGAATCTTATTCCACTTTTACCACAATTTTATTGTGAAATCTCCAACTGTAGCTTTATCATCATGTACTGACATTTTTTATTGTTCTCGTATATCTGCAGCAATAAAATCAGCGAATTCAAATATTCAGTCACCCATGGTTGAAAGTCCAAAATATGCTCCAAGATCTCTGAAGCGCAGCTTCACTTACAAAAGTATGCATGATGTAAGTATATTGAAAATATGACCCTACTTCATCATTTAATTTTTAAACGAAGTGTATTTGTTGTTTGCTTCCCATATCTCTAATAAAATAACATAAAAGGTGTAGTACGTTTCGCTTTCGTATTTTGAGGACTATATATATATATATATTCATCCAGTATACTAGATCGAAATTCCAGTACTGTATATTGCTATCTTGCGTAGTCAGAGACCTTCATAGAGTATATATCTGCTTGAGTTACCACCCCTAATATCGTCTCAGTAAGTGGAGTAAGACCACTTACGTACAATTGCGTGCATATTCATCTGCTGAAGAAAGAGCTACTGTCTGACTGCCATCACAGTAGTAGTAGGTTGAGTAGGATGTGAACGAGCAACTCAGCGATTAGAGTTTCAGTACCTAAACGAGCGAGTCAACTCTATTATATTATTACATTGGAAGCCTGTGCAACTCAGATTCCTCACCCGAGTCTTGAATATATAGATCATAGTTACCGAAATGACCATGATGTGGTTTTCGGCATAGTATGCTGTTTTCAAGTTCTTCATGTATTAATTTACTCACTGTTCTTATTCTACCGTGAATCACTCTCTGAGCAGATGTTCCACTATGCTTGCTGCGACTATTGCTGTCATTTTTGTTACTACCATTATTATTACTATTAACATTCTTCATTTCTAGCTTTTATACTGCTCTTAGTTAGACTCCTTGTTTGATTATCCTGTTCAAAGCTATGTGATTCATTTTAAGTCACCAAGTTTTCTTACTTGTTTCTTCAACATATCAGTAGTTATATATGACCTACCTTAATTACAGTGGTAGTTGCTCCTTGAGATGAAATAAAGAGTAGTTTTGTTTAGTTCACATATGCTCAAATATCATGTCTCCCTAGGCGACGTTCGAAATTCATTGACTTGAAATTTTTTTCATATATAGTCTAAAGTTAAGATTATTGACGAACACGTTACAGTTTGTTCCTCTATTTTTGTATAATTTCGTCATTATTTTATTCTTTCGTGCACCGAGTGGAACATAGGGCTTCAAGTCCGAGTCCCTGGGTTTCAGTAGCAGTGATGTTTTCTTCTAAGGGGGTGTGGTTGCTAGCCTCATGCTCAAACTTCCCACTTTGTTAGGCTTACAGCCGACTAGGAGAGGTAAAGGTTTGTTCCAGCTAGGAATTGATCCCCAGACCATGTACATGTTTGGCAAGCATTCTACCACCGAACCACCGACGCACACTTTTTGTGTAAGCGAAGTAATAAATACTCTTCTGATGAATGCTGTCGACAAGAGTGTTTACATCCTTCTGTTCCTCATCTCCTATTCCTATTTTCTTTATAATGTTTAATTTATTGTTATGCATCTCCTGATCCTCATAACGTATTGAATTATTCAATACATTGTCTAAATTATCCACTGTGTGTTAACATGCCTCATTAAATATATCTTCAAGTTTTCAGGGATTTGATTGATTGGTTACAGGACTTCATCATGAGCTGACATCAGTTAGAGAACCTCTGGAAAACCTGGGAGTACTGGACAGCTGTTTCGTCTACCTAGTTTGGGACTCTTCATCAATACGCACCCACACCGCAGTGGGGTTCGAGCCCGGGACCTTCTGGTTACAAGGCTAGCGAGCTCGTAGACCATTAGGCCACTGGGACAAGATCCAACGGCCAGTCCATGAATTCTAACTTCTGCCAATTCACGACATAACGCGACCGCTAGCCCATGTCTTCGGCGAGTATCTGTCGTCACACCCGACCTGCTGCACCCGACTGGTCCCAAACTAGGACGAAATAGCTGTCCAGTACTCCTTGCAGGTTTTCCAATGATCCTCTAACTAACCAATGTCAGCACATGATAAAATGCCGTAACCAGATATAAGTCTATTGTAATAGTCTATAGAACCATGTACGTGAAGTATTCTGCCGAGTCCTAAGTCTAAACAAATTAAGTTTTGATTTTTGTTGTTGCTTATTTTATCAAGACATGTGTCACTAACTATTTCTTTACTAATTTTTGGATCCCTTTCAAAATATACTAGAAGATTCATCAAATATGTTAATAATTTTGAAGTAATAGTCAATGAAATCTCCTTCAAGACTAACTCAATGAAAACATGTCTAGTTCATTGTTTATTGTGAGATGGAATTCCATTTGTGTAGCGCTTTATTATAGTTAGTACAGTCATCGCCTAATTTCTTGCTGAACAACGCTTCCATTACAATCTAGAATTCATATACGAAATGAGTAGGCGTTGTATTGTATTGTTTGTGGTACAGTCAAGTTTAATATCATCTGTACAATCCGGCTTCTTTAAACAATGAAACTATTAGTTCTTCGGTTACATAAGATCAGGAGAAAATAAGCATTATTAAATGGTTGGAGGCAGTTGGCCACAGGAAGCCTTGGCACTCACTAGTCAGCAGCCTTGAAGTTACTGTTGTTCCTTTTGAGATTCGAACCTGTGTTTCCCAGTGGTTCAGTCAGTCAGAGATGTTACCACTGACTTATTCGGACTCACGATTGACCTCCTCTAAGGTTGTATTAGACACTTGGATTGGACACTAACTAGTGTCACACCCTGATGGAGATCCACCGTGGGATGGTGGGCATATTGCAAGTTCGACTGATAGAATTCAGTCTGGAACAAACAAAGGAATAGACGCATGCCACTAGTTAGTATCTAATTAAAAGGAAATCAGTACTAGTGTGGCGAGAGCTGGCTGTTAGTCAAAATTGGTGGACAGTAATTTACGTCGGTGTTTATGTCCCCAATATTGGTTGTGAGAAAAATGAGAACAAAGGCTTCGCGTAGGCGGATACAGTTAACATATAGATGATCTAACATTCAAGAAACAGTCACAAAGAAATGCAAGGTTAACTCTCTGTGAGAAACAGCCAATCAAAAGACTATGTCTGTCTGCTAACAATACTCCATAATATGTACATGAAAATCTATAAATATGTGTTGATTTCCCTAATAAACGATCTGTTGCCTGGCCCTTGTATTCTGTTGTTGTACTAGTAGCTAGTCTCAGGTTATTAGCGGATTTCTCTGTAAAGATAAATGAGAGGAACTGTGGTGTTGAGTGTTTGAGTAAACACAATTGTGTGGTTGTGGATCACATCATAAAACAGTCGAAAAACAAATTAACATTATGAAGGTCGGCGACGCTTTACAACTGTCAACCGCTTTCTTCGGATTAGACTTGTTATGTACTCGTCGAGTAGTTAATAGTCCTGACGCGGAAAGAGGGAAATCAGAAGACCACCAGGTTTGCGATGATACTTGTATTTTCCAGACAAGGAAAATAAATGTCACACAAGAGTGTGAGTAAAATGATACGTAGTGTACGAAACGTGGGAACAATTATGAACAAGTATGCAGCACAAAAGTATATATGAAAATGGCTAATACACATGAACCAATAAATAGACAGTCTTAACATGATTGGTTGTAATGTCATGTGACAACAAGGTCATACATTGTTTATTTAGTTAATGGACAGACAAAAGCATATTGTCAGTTATAATGAAATATCGATCCATATACACATAGCAAAATATAACAGACTGTCAAAAACAAAACACACATCATGTGGATACATATTAGGTCTGCTCACCACTTGTGTTTATTTTCAATGTCGCATCAAAAGTTGTTACTCATTGGGTTTATTTTCTCTGTCTTTATGTTTGATCATCTTTCTCTCAACCTGAAGTCCTATTTTTATTTTCTTTTTATAGAAACTTCGTCATAATCGCCGAAGAAGTCAATTAAATTCGTTTAGACGTTCAGTAGGACAATTCTGCAGGGTTTAAAAACATTTTCCACTCTATACAAAAGACAAAGATCAAAAACTCTTGGTTCTCAGCATAGTACCTTATTCCACTTAAATGCAGTAAATGCCTATAACACTTTGTCTCTTTTTATTCAAATTAGTGACAATTTCGCAAATTTCACTTCTTTCCTTGTGTCACAAGTTGATAGTAAGTATCTGAATACTGATTTTTGATGTTTGAGGCTTTTTTTCTTTTCTTGGGCTACTTGAAACAGAAAGGGAATTATTTTTGCGTGATCATACAACCCAGGTGACAACTACTTGTGAGGCCGGTCACACACGGCCCCTTCAAGTTGTTTCCATATTAGTAACTTACCACCGGCAACGCACTACCGTTCGGTAAGTCGGGTTGTACAATTTTCGAGGTGAACCTTTTCCAAAGTCCTGTCTCTCCGGAGTGGAGAGGCAGCATAACTGGCTCTCTGGTCATCTGAGGGAAAAGCTTACTGCTGTTACATCCCTGTTCCCCAGTAGTGCTAATTTGCCCACACATACTGTAAACATCCTACACTATGCCGGTAAATGCTTTCAGCCTAGTCGCTATCCTAACAGCCGCTGTGACATGCTAGGACCTTCAGGAACATTGGTTCCAGTGTAGCTTATTATCTCATTGTGATATGCTAGCCCGACCACAACCACCACATCAAAATAGCAGCTATCTATCCGGAGTTTTGATGTTTCGTGGAATTTAACAATTGATGATAGTTTTTACTTTTAAATGACCCAATTAATTAGTTTCTCGTACCGTGAAGTTATGGAAGTATTAATAGTTTGTGTTAAACAATACGTAAATTTATTCAGCAAAGACTCTGAACTTGTATTTTCTCGGTTATCATATGTGATAATTATAAAAACTTTGGGGCTGTTCTTAAATCGCTACAAAATATAACAGAGACTTTATCCTACCGAACAAAACTCCTTGCTTTCTAAGTTTGATCACGAACTGAAATCATTCAGAAAACCATTGAAAACCAACAGGGAGTACTGGATGACTGTTTCTTTCTAGTTTGGGTCTCTTCACCAGTACTCATCCACCGCCAGGGTTCGATCCCACGACCTTTCCGTTCCCAGGGGATGTTCATTTGTCTGTATGTTTTCAACATAGAACTTTGCATCTCTGTGCAGCAGTTTGAGTCACCACACTCCGTGTAGCACACAAAGCAAGAGAAGAAAGCAGAAGAAATGCATGATAGAGACAGTAAACAGAGGTGTGAGACAAAGGGATAGTAATAACGAAGATCAATATAGTTTCATTGGAAATCATAAGTCACAAGGAATGGATGCGTCTACGCCATCGAGAACGATTTTGAGCCATATCACCAATTGTCTCCAGCCTTCATTGGTCTTTACTGTCCCGAGGACCCCAACCAGGAAGCCAGTCTACACCTTCCTAGGTGACTGGCTCAAACTAACTGTTGTGGATTTCATTGACTGGTGCAGTCATTTTTTGGTTTTGCCGCCGCTAGCTCTTTTCCAACCTGATCCATCCTACCTCAGCTAACATTTCCCGTCGAGGAAGGCGGTGACTAGGCTAGGCATACGTAACACATGTCCTAACTATCTCAGTCGTAATTTCACAGCCTCGTCGATTGATTTCCTCTCCTTACCTAGCACTCGACTGCTGTCTAACCTCAATATTGCTCACCTTACTATACCAGTTCACACGGGAGATAGAACGCAGGAACCTATGATCAAAGACAGCCAGCTCTACTCTCAATGGCCAGGTCTCACAGCCAGCCATAAAGGAGAAGGATAGAGCGGATTGCTGAGCAGTACACCATCCCGCCACACTGGAACTCTATCCAATGGCTGGTGAATTCCAACTTCTATCGATTCGTGATTTTCGCGCGACCACCAGCTGATGATGTCACCGGGAGTATTCCTCCTTACTGCCGACATGCTAGACCCCACTAGTCACGACGTCTCAATAGAACTCCAGGCAACTTTGTCCTGTAGCAGCTAGTAGTGACCAGCGAGGATCAGATTAATTTTGAAGGATTAGTTTGCAGGAATTTAATTTCTTTCAAGTTTGATCACCTAGGTGTGACACCAATTAGTTGGATATCTGTCAGTATTTAAAAAAAAACATTACTTGACAGTCCATTAGTAGTAGTAGCGTTAATTAAAATTCAATTGAGGAATTGGATTAAAATTGTCCCTCCAAAGGATACGAGTGGGTTGAAGTTGACTCTCAATGAATGGGCAAAAAATGAGTCAGTCACTATTTTGTTTAAGTCAATTTCTGTTTTCCTGTTGATTAGGTGAACTGAGATATTCGGTTTCTGTTGACATGTCGACTCGCATTACAGACTCTACTATGGTATCTGAAGATTAACACTTCTTATGTCATATGATGGGTAGTGACTAACACAGTGGAATCCAGAGTGCGTGTTTTTCTGTCTTAGGTGGGACTTGTCCACTGGATGTACCTGCAATCAATCCCTAGTGAGTGATGGTGTTCCATTGAGACTTCAACTGGATTCGATTGTTGGTCACTATACATTCGATAACATGAGCGAAAACAGATTGGACTGAAGTTGTATATATATATATATATATATATATATATATATATATATATATATATATATATATATATATATGGTTGAAAACCATGCGATTATTATATATTTGGAAACTACTGGAGTACTACGGCGTACCCCAAATATTCATCAACCTTATTCAATAGCTGTACGACAACGGCACATGTCAAGTGATCCACAACGGAAAACTCAGCGAGGCGTTTGCAGTAAACGCAGGAGACAGACAAGGGTGTTTATTATCACCAATGATATTACTAATTGTGGTGGACTGGATTATGCGTCAGACAGTGAGTGGGAAACGAGAAGACAGGGATATCCTGGACCGACCGACGTGAAGAACCTAGAAGACCTGGATTTCGCGCGTGGATGATTTATGTTTGATGTCACACAAAATCGAAGACTTACAAGCGAAAACCGACAAAATATTTGAAGAAGCAGCAAAGGCAGGACTCCAGGTGAACACAGACAAAACGGAGGTTATGAAAATAACCAACCAACAACAGCAACAACATCCAACGTCAATCATCATCAACGGGAGGGATGTGAAAGAGGTTACTTCATTCACTCATCTAGGGAGCATTGTCTCAACTACAGGAGGAACGGACGAGGTTGTCAAATCGAGCGAGGATCGGAAAGGTGAGCGAGAAACACATTCATCAATCAGAAACTAACATGGAAATCTTCGTCACTCAGCCAACACCAACAACAAAATTCAATCGGATTTCCAATACAAGCGTCAAGTCAGTCAGCTCTTCTATACGGATCAGAAACTTGGCGGGTGGGTCACAAAGAATATTTCCAACAAACAGCCTGTTGCACACCTTTATCAACCAACAACTGTCTTCACTCGATCTATACTGAAGATCAGATGTCCGGGCTGGAAGGAATCATCAACAGGAAACTATGGGAACAAACAAACAAAACAAGAACCAATCGCCAACCAACAAATATGCAGGAGAAAGTGGAGATGGATGAATCGGACACTCGCTCGCTGAGGAGGCGGCTGGGTGACATCGCGCGCGCGTCAGGCCATTTCTCGAGTGGAACCAGGCCGAAAGGGAAGCACGCGGCGAGTGGGACGTCAGTGCAAGAGTGAGTGACATGGGGGATATCATGTGAAGTGAAGAGGAGTTGAAAGAGTATAGACTAACATGGATGGATACAGGTGAAAAGTACAGTAGAAGACGGAAGTGGCAAGTGGAGACGTGCAGCTGAAGCCGTATATTCCACTAGGAACCCAAGGGAACAATAATAATAATATCCTCAAATGTTGACCTGTACCATATGATGAAAAACACCAACCTCAGTTTCGGCACACCTTGTTGCTCTTTACCAATTAATTATATTCTGAATAAATACACAAACGAAGTCCAACTTGTTTAATGTTTTCTACTGATTGTAGTTGTTGCGTGTTATACATATAATAATAATAACGTTGCATGTCACTCTTGTGTTTCTCCGCTTTACACAGTTCCTTCTACTATCCCCATGGATTGTCTCAGAGTCATGATCATTATATTTAAGGTAAGCCTCCTTTATTTCTTTGTTTTTCCCTTTGTATAACCTTTATAATCTTTCTCGAGAATATTACAACTTTGAATATGACTTAAAAAAAGTAGTGAATGGCGGCACATACTGTATATTTAGTTCCTTATTTGTTTTTGTTTTTTGGCAAAAAGGTTATTGAGAACAATGTTTTTTGTTTATGATTGAAAGATTATTTCCAGCATAGAATTTTGCACAGGAGTGTACCAGTTCAAGTTACTACACAAACGAAAACAAAAGAGACAAAAAAAGATATTCGAAAGAACGATAACAAGCAAAAATGTAATAGCGAGAAAGAATAGTGACATACAAAGCCATAAGGGTTTAGTGTGGATACGATAGATCACAAACAATGAATAATGCATTTTCGTCATTGACAACAATTTCGAACCATATCACCAGCTTTCTCCAACCGTCGATTCTTAGAATCCTGAGTACTCCAGCAGACCCACCCGCCAAGTTTCTGATTCGTATAGAAGAACTGACTAACTTGACGTTTTTTACTGGAAATCCGACAGAATTTTGTTGTTGATGTTGGCTGAGTGACGAAGATTTCCAGATTAGTTTCAGGTTGATGATGAATGTGTTTCTCGCTCGATTTGACATCCTCGTCCGTTCCGACTGCCTGTAGTTGAGAATTTACATATTAGGTAAGTTTATATGATTTAACAGACAGTGGTGCAGTATTAATATCTAGAAGTTAGAAGTGGGATTCTTAATAGAGCGAGAATTAGAGTGGCATTTGAACCAACCAACCAGTCAACTCTCTCGGCGATAAACTTTGTCAGCTTAAGGACCCAATAGATCCAGTTCAGAAAAATAAAATATAATTTACCAAATACCAACGTAATGACTGTTAATAAGGTCAATGACATAGGTCTAACTAGTAGATCAAGCCATTGCATTGCATTCACTTACATGTAACTATACAATAGGATGGTACAGGGTGGAAGTATTAGAAAGTAATTTAGTTAGGTATAGAGATAAAGAGAGGTTGATCACTGAAGCTTTGTCTATCGATTCGGCACTGCACACATGCAATCGAAATGACTCAATGCTTATACAGGAGATATGGACAATTATAACAAACAAGGGATATATATATATATATATATATATATATATATATATATATTCACGTTCCCAGTGGAACATAGGGCTTCAAGCTAGAGGCTTGAAGTTTCTGTAGCAGTGTTTACTTTTACGGGATAGGGTTGTTAGCCTCATGCTCAACCTTTCCTCTCTACCAGCTTTATTTCTGGTTTAGTCAGTTAAAGGAGTGTGTCAGCTGGGGACCTGACCCCGGATCATGTATATGGTCGGCGAGCGTCCTTACTGCTGTGCCACCGACGCACCGTATATATAATATATATATATATATATATATATAACCTCTTTATTACCTTCTAATTGGTGTATAGTTGTGTGTGTGTGTGTGTGTGTGTGCGATAATTCAGACCGTTACAAATTAATACTAGTCAGCATATCGGGTGGAGATGCGGTTCTCTCTGGCTTAAGAGCACTCGGTTTTCAGCTGATGGGTCACGGGTTCGAGTCCCGCTCCACCTAGTTCAGTACATATAACTACTGGATGGTAGTATTGTGGTGGTGTGATATACGGACAATTTGTTCCAAAGGAATATTATTCTCACATATTTCCACAGTTCAATACGGACAGCATTAGCAACAGAACACGATACTTATTTGAACATTCTATTTCGTGTGATTGGTTGACGATTATAAACTGTTTATATATATATATATATATATATATATATATATATATATATATATATATATATATATATATATATATATATATAAACAGGAGTTCGATCAATTGAAAATATAAACCTTTGCTTACGTGTCTTGCCTTCTGCTGTTACAGTATTATCTGTCCTCAAACGGTAAGTGTGGCTCCTAGCCAGCCTACCTGATACATGAAAAGTGTGTCCTAGGTTTTTGAGCTTAAACAAACAATTCAATCAATCTGCATATTGTAATGTGATGTAATCTGTCGAGTAATGACAACCGATGATGTCCGTTAAGGAGGCCCATTGTCCCCATTTCTCTTTAATTTGATCATTGATGTACTTATGGAATTGGCTGTAACCTAGCATCAACGACTTATGGGTTGACTTTTTTACCAGGGCATAATCTCGTTGACTCAGAATACACGAACGGCATAGTCCTCTTAGGTGAAGGTGCTGATAAAATGTAGAGTCTTCTGAATACATTAAGCAGCAATTTTCTAATGTTTGGCGTTCGATTTTACTCCTGTCAATTGTAAGATGATACTACAGGCCTAGACTACATCGACTCACTCCTAGCTTAAAGATATAGAGAATGAAGTGGTAGACTGGGCAGTTCACTGACGTAATCTCAGCACCAATACAGAAGACTCGTATAGTGATTCCCAACTTATGTCATTTCTGGCGTAGATGTGATATCCGACTGACTGTCGATGAAAAAACACGTGTGAACTGATCACCAACTCCCTTCATCTTCCTTTATAGTTGTGAGACGTGGCCATTGAAAGTGGAAGGCATGAAAAGGCTAACTGTCTTTGGTCATAGGTCATGGTCAGGCGTTCTATTTGTCGTGATAGGCGTTATAAGAGAATGAGTAATATTGAGGTTATGCGTCGAGTGTTGTTTAATAATAATAATTAAAATTTGCTTTATTCCAAAACAGTACTTGTGACACAGAATGGAATTCTCAGCATTTCACTACATACAGTATTGCACCCAGTTAGTATATTAACAACAAATAAAATTCTACATGGATTAAGGGTAGTCTCAGTTAGTGCCTGATGAGATACAAGGGGAGAGTTGTGAATGAAGAGAGTGGTGTGAGTTATATAAGATAGATTTAGACCATTTTTCACATGAGTCCAAATGCCTGTCAACCAGAATATTACAATCTGGTTAAGTGACACGTAGCTTACTTTACTGACAACCTTTAAAATCTTACGTAATAAGATATAGTCTTTGTTCAGTAGCCCTGCAAAAACTAAGGGGGAACAACAGAGAATAGTAGGCAGGATGCAGGAGTTAACGAATTGTAGGAGTAAGGGTTGCGTTTGGTTATTCCAGAATGTCTTAACTTCTTGATGTAGAAGATAGGGCGGTATGAGAAAATATCGAGGTTATGCGTCGAGTGTTGTTAGGTAAGGGGATAGGGGGGGTGGAAGTCATTAGATGAGGCTGTAAAGGTGAATCGGTTGAGATGACTAGGACATATGTCATGCATGACTAGCCATCGCCTTCCTCTATGGTCAATGTGAACTTGCACAGGCGTTCTGTTGGAAAAGAGCTAGTGATGGTGGTCAAACCTAAACATGGAGTCAGTCTATGCGATGTTTAACAGTTGGTTAGTTTGAGGCAGTCTCGTAGGGAGATTTGGAATGCCGACTGGCAGTTGTCAGGATGTGTTTAATAACAATAATAATGATGATAATGATAAATCTTTATTTCAAACAATACGCCAACATATTTTACAAAAAAATTTCAGCTTATTTAATTCCAAAATACCTTTTTCTTCATAGAGGATTTACACTTGTAAAGTAAAAATAATCTGAAGCATATCTTCATTTCGTTGAAGAATTGCACAACGTTCACTTGAGGAAGCAAGTTGAATCAGCGCGCGCAAATTCATGTATAGGAGATCATTTGATGTAACTGGATGATTAAAACAACAATAATGAGTCCAGAGGAAATTAAGCATTTTTCATGGGAAGCAATTTCAGTAGCCCAATGATTTAAGCACGAACTAATGGCTTGTATGATGATGACGATTTGGTGATATGGTTCGAAATCGTTGTCAGTGACGAAGATGCATTCACTCTCTTCGATCCATCATGTCCAATAAAACATGTGTTACTATTCTTTCTGTCGTACATTTATGCTTATTATCATCGTCCTTTTGAAACGGTTGTTTGGTCTTAGAGTGTGTGTGTGTGTCAATGTATATCTCCTATTGATTGAAGTAATTCTCAAGTGTGTTGGTTTTGTAGGGATTTTTTGTTGTTGTTGTTCGATTGATTGAAGGATTTCATCATGAGATGAAATCATTTAGAGAAGCATTGGAGAACCTTGGAGTACTGGGCAGTTGTTTCGTAGTCCCAGTAATTTGGGACTCCTCGGTATTGTGTGAGTGTGTGCGCGTTCTGATGAAGAGTCTCAGACTAGGATGAAACAGCTGTCCAGTACTCCCCACTGGTTTTCCAATGGTTTCTGATTTTGATTTATCTTGGCTATTTTAGATATTTAGGGAGAAATGTTTTGAACGCTCTTTGATATCATACATATATTTTCAAGTATTGGATTTGTAGGGATTTTGTTTGATTTCATGAAGGATTTAATCATGAGCTGACGTCAGTTGGAGAACCACTGGAAAACCAGCTGGGAGTACTGGACATCTGTTTCGCCCTAGTCTGGGACTCCTCAGCAATAACTCATCAAAGAAGACATTGCGAAATGGTCGCGCTATGTCGTGAATTGGCAGAAGTTTGAATTGAAGAATCATTGGATCGGGTCCCAGTGGCTCAATGGTCTACGAGCTCCCCTTGTAACCAGAAGGCTCTGGGTTTGAACCCTGGCTGTGGGTGCGTACTGCTGAGGAGTACCAAACTAGAACGAAACGGCTGTCCGGGACTCCCTTCAGGTTTTCCAATGGTTCTCTAACAAATGTCAGCTCATGATTAAATCCTCCATGCAATCATACACATATATTTAATCAATGTACGACTTCTTTTTCTCTTCCTTTCATTAAAGAGTCTTTATACGGAAATGGAAGGTTATTATGAAGTAACTAATCAGGCTGCGACACCTAATCAAGCGATTGGATTACTTTATGCTTTTAATTTAACTGATATTTATCAATCGGGGAATCGTATATGGGATATGGTATCTAAATATTCAGGTATGCGACATATGCATGTGTACGCTTTTTTTGTGTGCGTGCGTGTCTGTTTGTCTTGGGATATATCTTTTTTTGTAAAACAAGTTTTTGATGTAATATTGGATTTTAACTGAATTTTTAGATTTTCCCGTCGATTGATTGAACCGAAGTGCTCTGTCTTAGGTTGACATGTCAGCTTTTTATACAGATGCTTCGACGATGTTTGGGCATTTAATTATTGTTTAATTGGTGGATGGTGACTAGCAGTGGAATCCAGGATGCACATTTTGTCCTATTTAGGACTCGTCATCTGGATGTACCTGCATTTGTCGGTGGGTTCGAGTCTTGATGGGAACATCATCACCTACTGGGCAATGCAGGTGCATCCAACTGGCGAGTCCCAAACAGGGCAGACGAAATGCGCATCCTGGATTCAACTGTTAGTCACCATCCGCCAATTAAATAATATTGAATTATTTAAATGTTTCGCATTGTTATGTATGTTGATGAGTCAGTCGTGTGCAGTAGGAGTAGTAGTAGTAGTAGTGGTAGAATCCTCTCGCCAGTTAATTATGCTGCACTGCACATGGTCCGATGGGGGGCGGTTCGATCCCCAGCCGATGCTACACACTCTTAAGCCTCACTTAACTGGTAGTATAAATTCGGTAAAGAGGGGGGAGTTTGCGTGTGAGGATAGCAGGCAGCAGCAGCCGTATCTCCTGAAAAAAAATATAAGCACCAATGCTAGTGAAACTTCACGCCTTGATTTTGCTTTAATTCTTTAACTACTTTTACTCTTAAGGTGCTATGAGAGATTTCAACTCAGGTGTCTGATAAATAGATGATCATTTTTGAAGGCGTTAATTATTATTACTATGTGCACTGTTTGATCGTCTTGATCCCTGAGATATCAGATATACAATTGTTTAACTGTTTCTCCTGATTGCGGTAAACTGGATAACGTGACAGGCAGTTAGTGGACAACGAAGAAACAGGCATAGAAATGGACCCACACACAAAAAAACTTGGAGGATCTGAATTTCGTTGATGATATTTGTCTGATTTCATACAAAGTGGGAGATATGCAAGTGAAAATAAATAAGTTGGCGATAGAAGAAGCATTAAAGATAGGAGGGACTTCAGGTGAACATAGAGAAAACAGAGGTGATGAAGATCCCTCGTCATTCTCTAGCCGACGAAAGATAAGCTAGGTAGTTTTGTCACATCTATGTGCATTTATCATTTCAACTGCATCTGCGGTGACAGTTATGTTGGACGTACTACTAGATAGTTTAGCCAACGTTGTTAGTGAACATGTTCCATCATTGTGGTTTGGCAAAGGACAGATAAAAAACCATTCTTAGCTTCGTTTTGTCACATTTATTTGATAGTGGTTATGTAGCGGAGAAAACGAGAGCTTTCAAAGTAATCCTTTTGTCCCACCGAATCTTTCCAATAGACGATTTCGTATTCGTCTACTGCACACACATAGCTGAGGTGATAGTTATTCAAACTATTAAATCTAAACTATGCCCATTCAAAAGAAGTTCGTACAGCCATTATCCCTCCCTTGGCCTATCAAGACTTAACCAACTGATGATTTGTACACCACCTCTTACTTATATTCTCAACCCTTCTCTTATCATCCCTTAATCTTATCCCATCTTCATTAAAATATAGTGTATATACTTCCTTTACAATCTGGCATTACTTAATCGGTCCATTTGTTGTTGTCTACCTGAACATTTGTGTGTTTTATCGTGCTGTTTTTTTCATTATTCGCTCCACTTTTTCATCTTTGTTATTTATAGAGTCATTATTATTATCATTATGACTATGACTAATTGCGCAATATATATGCGCGATCTTATCGTCCTACTGACAGATCACCATGACTGGTGTATATTTTAGTATTTATTTTTAAAGTTACCTATATATTCGAGTTAAGCCTAACGAGATCTAATTGAAAACAGTGTTGTTTGCGTAAATGCGCTATTCGAAGTTGTACTATGCGAATATTTAATATTTTATATTGAATCGTTTTCTTACAGAATAAGTTTAATACATGAATGCGTGCTGCGTTTGATTAAAGAAAAAGAATTACAGGCAAAGTTCAACAATAGCGTCCCAGGAGTGCAAACGCACGAGTGACCACCTTCAGCTGACCAATCATAAAAATGAGGAATGTTTGCTCAAAAAATGATGTATATTCACAAGAAAATGCTTCAAAATGCACTAATCAGGTTATCTTTCTCTGACATGGCTTAAAAATACGTCCTAGTTATATCGAGGAGTATGAGTTGCTAAGTTAGACTAGTTTCTGTACATGTTGTATTTACCGAGATGACTACAGATAAACTGTGTTTTGTGAATCGTTTATCTCTCTCTCTCTCTCTCATCCTGCTTGCAAGCTTCCACAAAAGCCCTCGATTGAATTATTGTAGTTTCCAACAAGAGGATAGACGACTTCTTAGCAGGAAAACGTGAATAATAAAACAAATTAAAATAAATGACATCAACTACAAATCTACCCCTAATCGTAACCATAAACTAAATCCTGACCCTAACACTAACCTTAATCCTTACCCTAATCATAACCCTTATCCAAACCGTAATTCTAACCCTAATGCTAATTATAACCCTGATCCTATCCCTAACCCCAATACTTACCTAAACCCTAATCCTAACCCTGACGAGCTATTAACACATTGTCCAAACACTACTTAAAAACGTGATCTGGGTGAAATTTGCTCCTGAGTTGTTGAATTTTATTTTATTTAAACGCAGAAAAAAAACTTGGTACATTATTATGCCACCAAGAAAGATGCACCCCATAATAATAATAAAACAACATAGATCAAAAGTAAAATATATATAAGTAGAGAATGGATAAAGAACTTCATCTGGAAGGAAAACAGTCATACTTAACAAGTTCAAACAGTATTCGTTAACTATCATCGGAAAGGGAATAGCGTTTGACATTTCAGCTATGATAATAACAGATGCCGTTAGCCCCAACGACTAGCATGCGTTCAAGGTCGTTGGAGCTTTCACACTCGTGGGGCGCTATTGTCGAACACCGCTGAATTACATTGGTTTGTTGATATATTTGACTTATTGTTCAAGTTTGACTACGGATTGATATTAGTTCGAGATTGGACAAATACTCGCCGATGACCATTGGCTGTTGGTGGTCGCGTTGGAGTTTCATACACCATTGAATCGGCTCCCAGTAGCTGAATGGTCTAGGAGGCTTGTTGTTGACTTGTAACCGGAAGGTTCCGGAATAAAAACCCTTGCGGCGGAGGTGAGTACTACAACTGAAGAGTCGCAAACTGTGACAAAACAGCTGTCAATGATTCTATAACTGATATCAATCAATCAATCCATAGTCCAAACTTGTAGAATCAGATTTTCTTGGCGATTATTTTTTTAAAATTTTGACTATCGATAAATTTCTTTCCTCACTTTTCAGATCATAATACAGCACAGAAACTGTTATCCATTGTGATACGTGCATACAAAAAATACGAAATAAACATTCCAAACGTTGAAGACATACCTTTATCCAAATTTTTACAAAATAACTCTAACAAATTGCATCTCAAGGAGAAGTTCAATTTTCAATTTTTAAACTCTCAACTCAGTGAAAAGTTATCAAAGCAATCAGGTTATGAAGACTATGCAAAACTATTTCCGTTATTGGATACTGTTAAAGAAATTACCAATCTGTTTTTAGCACTTTTAAAATTACGTGTTCAACAATTTATGAAGTTGTATATTGAATTAGAAATCAATAATATTATTGAAGTACAGCTGGAACAAACTCTTATCAATGTGTTGACTAATTCAAAGGTGAAAGTGATTGCCGTCCGAGGAAGTGGTGGTGATAGTGACGCTATAAAGCGTAAAATTATGAAGCCTACAGCTGGTGTGGCTATGACTAAAAATCGATTGAAATACACTCGTTCAGAATCACACGTTGGACAGCAGGAAATTATGGAGATGATACAAAAAATTGTTACAAATTTAGGTTCAAAAGCCTCAGATGAATTTGATATATTCGAAACTTCAGATAATCAAGCAGGAATATCAACGTTTTTCATCATGGTAAGTTACCAATTGTCCTTATATATTTATTATTATTATTACTATTGTTTCCTTTAATTCCTAGAAGGCTTCAGCGGAAAGTCTCCATTGGCTCCACGTCTGTCCACATGCTCTTATCTCCTCTTCTCATCATCACCTCCACTCCATATCACCCCATCGTCGAACTGACGACCAACTCGCCGCGTCCCAATCGAGCGGTGGTCTGGTGTGTGATGAATGTCACTCACTTGATGATTTGTTTCCTCAGAGTATAGTTAATACGCCTCGATTTCCTCCTGCATATTTGTTTGACGATTGGTTCCTTCTGTGTTGGCTCGTTCACTGCCAGAGATCCCTCTCTGTTCCTGATCTTTTCTGGCTGGACATCTAATCTCAAGGGAAGAATTGAGCGAAGGTGTTGATCTGTCGGTGAAGGTGTGTAGTTTGTTCTGTTCGAAGTGGCCTTTGTGACTTGTCGCCAAGTCTCTGAACCATCCGTATAGTAAGTAGCACTGAATTCACATCGGAGTTGAAAATCTGGATCTTACTTTTCATGGTGAGTTCTGTTGATCTACATGCAGACTTGAGAGTAATGAAAGCTTCCCTCGCATTCCCGATCCTTGGTTTGATATCTCCATGGGTTCCATCCACCTGTAGTTGAAACGTTGCTTCCCAGGTAGGTAGGTAGGTAGAGGAATTTACGTTTTTCAGATTCCTTCCGTTTATGCTGATTATAGTCTGTTGTTGATTTTAATGTTGGTGTTACCGTCGGCTGGGAATCTTCATCACCTGTTTTCTCTATGTTCACCTGAAGTCCCTCCTATCTTTGGGATTTCTTCTCCCAACTTGTTGCTTTTCGCTATATATATATATATATATATCCCACTTTGGGAAAACCTATGAGGTCTCGAGCCCAGTACCTTCTGATTACAAGGCAAACCAACCACTGGGATCTGACTCAATCACCCATAAATTCTAACTCTTGTTAATTCGTGATTTTTACCGCGACCACCAGCCTTTGTAATTGGGGGAGTATTTCTCCTTTATGATGGCATGCTAGCTTGACTCTACTGGTCACGACTTCGCAGTAGAACTGCAGGCAACTCTGTCCTATAGCCCCAGTGACTAGAAAGCTACAGATTAATTTTCAAAACTTGATTTGTAGTGATTTTATTTGTTTGAAGTTTGTTTAGTAGTATAATGGTAAATGTGTTACTACGTGAAACAAGTCATCTTTTGTCCCTGAAATTATTTGGTTTTTATTCGAATTCCAAAATCATTTTGACCGTATATACTCGTCACTGTTTCCTGTGAATGTGTAGAAGCTGTCGGGCGTAAAATTACTTAATTGGTCTTGACATGTGAAGTCTGAAGGCTCCGTGTAAAGAAGAGACGATTTGTTTTTCTTAATATTGTATTCCCTGATGGTTTGTTTGAAACCTGTCTGTCTGTCTGTCTGTATTCAACATATAACTTGGCACCGAAGTGCACCAGTTCGAGTTGCCACGTTCCAAATAGCACACACACAAAGGTAGACAAGAAGATGAGTGAAGAGAATCAACAGAGTTTGACAACTATAAGAGCGAAACAGAATGAGTAATGGTAGAAAGAAATATGAAAGATTATAGAGACTGAATACATCTGCACCACTGACAACGATTTTGAGCCATGTCACCTATTGTCTCCAGCCATTGATTCCTAGAGTCAGTCCCGAGGGCCCCAACCCGGAAGTCTGCATCTCCCTACCTGACTCAGTTTAACTGTCAAAGATTTTTAATGGATTGATGCCATGTTTTTGTTTGGCCACCACCACTTACTCTTTTCCAACCTGCACCTATATCAGCTAGTAATGCCTGTCGTCTGGGGAGGCGATGGTTAGACATGCGCAGCACGTGACCTAGCCATCTCATCAATCTATGTAACTTTATAGCCTCGTCGATTGATTTTCCCTCTTTGTTCAACACCCTACGCCTAACGTCAACATTACTTACCTTATTATACCACCTAACGTGAGAATGAGATCGCAGATATCTGTGATCGAAAGCAGTCAACCTTTTCATATGTTCAACTCGTATTGGCCATGTTTCAGAGCCATAGAGACAAGGACGGAGCGAACTTCTGAGCAGTACACACGTCCCTTTGGTTGATAGCCGGATGTCACGTCTACGCCAAAGACGGTGTAAGCTGGTGAAAGCAGCTTATTATTATTAATAAATCGGTATTCAGTTGGTCATCTTTCCCCCTCTTATTTTTTTATTTATCATATTCATAGCCGGGTGGACCAAAGAAGAAAGAAGAGAAGCGTGTAAGAGAGTTGGAGAAAAACTATCAATTCACTTTCTCGCAGGGTAACAACGGAAATAATTAGAGTGTAATGCTTCTGCTTGTCCGTGTGTGTGTGTATACATGAACATTATTCAGTCAGTCAGCTACTGTTATTACTACGATTATTTCATTCCAGTTGTCTATTGTTGTTGTTACTCTTTTTTTTTTGATTTTTTCCCCTACTTTCTAATTCCTAATTTTAATTGAAAATGTGTATTTTTCTGTGATGACGCGTTCTTTTTGAAAAACGAAAGGAACAAAGTGGTGTTAAACACAGTTGAGAATTCCTCCTGATGTCATTAGTGTCATTACTGTTATCTTATCCTTTTGTTTGTAAAACTGTCCGGTTATCACAATCTTATTGTTCAAGCACTCTTATGTATGTATGTAGGTGTGTGTGTGTGTTTGTCTGTTTCTTTGACCTTGACAGTAGTAGGTATAAACGAAGAAGAAGTCACAGCGAGTAGTTTCATTGTACGGTACTTCCATCCCCTCCTTATCTTTTCTACACATATCTGCTTAACTAACTTATAACTAACTTCTTTATATATTATTATCTCTTTGTGTTACAGAACAGTGAATAAATCCTATCTAACTATAAAAATCTGATGCCTTCATCCTTGAAGGTTGTTAATAAAATAGGCGAAAATGGAAATCATATCTTTTCACAATCCCATCTTGTTATCTATCTTATTATTGATTTATTTTAAAACTAAAAGTATAACAAAAGTGTACTAGTTAATTTTCTAAGTACTGTTGTATTCTCATGAGACTTATTTTGTTAACTTGAAATTTTTATGTCAGATTACAGTATGTATACTTGACGGAAAGAAAATAGTGTCTCTGTTACAAGGGAATAATACATATATGTATCGAAAAGTTGTTTTATTGGTAATCTATCTATCCACATATTGTTCCTTTGGGTCTCACACCTCTGCTCACTGTCTCTATTATGCTTTTCTTGTACTTTCTTCTCTTGCTTCGCGTGCTACACGGAGTGTGGCGACTTGAACTACCGCACATTTGTGCAAAGTTCTACGTCGAAAACAGATAGACCTTTGGGTTCTGAGTGTGGGGGATATAGGACTTCAACAGAATACCTCTATATCACCGTTTTTTTCTGCAGTCCTCTTCATCTGGACTCGCGATTACCTGTAGGCCCTCGTCACCAGACACCAGACAACTGCTTAGGCTTATCAGGGAAACAAGTGGTAAAAGGCAAATGATAAGTGTGAAACAATATCTGGGTAGAAAATGGCACCAGGAGAGACGACTGGAAAGCTGGAAAGAACACTTTGAGCAGCAATTCAATTTGGTCTACAGCTATGATCAACCTGCCAAACATCCAACACCCCCTTAGATGGGATATAAACACAGGTCCTCCGTCCCTAACTGAGGTCACTAAAGCTGTCACTAGTTTGAAAAAATGCACAGCAGAGGTATTTAAGTACGGTGGAGACAGTTTACTGTCTGCATTAACTGATGTACTAGGCAGTATCTGCGAATCAGAGGAAGTCCCGTCACTGATTATCCCCGTGTACAAGAAGAGAGATAAGTTTTCCTGTGATAATCACAGAGGGATTAGCTTGACTAATATAGTATCTAAAGTCTTAGGCTCAATAATCATGCGTAGACTAAGTGGTGCTCGGGAGGCACAAACACGAGAGAGCCAGGCAGGCTTTAGACCAGGAAGAGGGTGTATTGATCATATCTTCACCCTCCGACAGATTCTAGAACATAGGGATTCCTACCGGCGTCCAACAGTCATTATATTTCTTGACCTAAAGGCAGCATTCGACTCTGTCGATAGAGAAGTTCTCTGGAAATGCTTAGCTGTAAAGGGAATGTCGAGAAGATAAACTGCACTGATTAAGGCACTCTACTCGAACTCATGCAGCCAGATGAGGGCTTATGGTAAGTTGTTACCTGAAGTGGTGACGACTACTGGTGTCCGTCAAGGATGCCAGTATCCCCTTTTCTATTCAACTTCATCATAGATCTACTAATGGAATTAACCCTAAGTGACTTCAGAGACTCGGGGATAGACTTGCTACCAGGGTATAATCTCGTTGACTTAGAGTATGCAGACTATATAGTCCTTCTAGACGAGGACGCTGACAAAATCCAGTAGAGTCTTCTAAACACCTTGAGCTGCAATCTACGAATGTTTGGCATGCAATTATCTCCCGCCAAATGCAAGACGATGTTACAGGACTAGACTACACTGACTCCTAGTTTAGAAATAAGGAGTGAAGTGGTAGAGCACGTTGACCGCTTCACTTATTTGGGAAATGCCATCAGCCACTCCCAACGGGTTGATCGCTGACGAAATCTCATCTGAGAACGGATACAGAGGGCTAGTTTCGCATATGCCAGTTTACGCCGTCTCTGGCATAGACGTGATATCTGGTTACCGACGAAAGGGTGGGTGTACTACTCAAAGGCAGTCCGCTCCGTCCTCCTTTATGGCTGTGAGACCTGGCTGGCCATTGAGAGTGGAAGTCATGAAAAGATTAGCTGTCTTTGATCATAGTTGTCTGCGTTCTATCTCCCGTGTGAAGTGGTATAATAATGTGAGCAATATTGATGCTAGGTGTCGAGTGGTAGGTAGATGGGAGGGAAATCAATCGATGAGGCTGTGAAATTACATCGACTGAGATGGTTAGGACAAGTGTTACGTATGCTTAGGCTAGTCACTGCCTTCCTCGACGGGAAGTGTTAGATGACATAGGGTAAGCTGTAAAAGAGCTAGCCAGTGGTGGGCAAACCAAAACATGACTGCACCAGTCAATGAAATCCACAACATTTAGTTTAAGCCAGCCAGCCACGTAGAAAGGTGTAGACTGGCTTCCTGGTTGGCGTTGTCGGGACGGTAAAAACCAATGCAAGCTGGAAACAATTGGTGATATGGCTCAAAATCATTCTCAATGGCTGGCGCAGATGCATCCACTCCTTGTTACTTATGATTTCCAATGAAACTATATTGTTCTTCGTTATTACTATCCCTTTGTCTCACACCTCTGTTTACTGTCTCTAATATGCATTTCCTCTCTTGCCTAGTGTGCTACATGGAGGGAGTGTGGTGGCTTGAACTGGTGGACATCGATGCAGAGTTCTTTGTCGAAAACAGACAGATAGAGAAGCCGTCGTCTCCTTCTCTCCACACAATCTCCTTCATGTGTCACTTTCGGGTGTCTAAGTCTTCGTTGTTTCCACTCGAGCGATGGCCTGCATTACGCGTGCTATGTCACCCGACGGTCTCCTCAGTGTTTGTTTCGGCATTTTTTTCTTTGGCATACTTGTTGAACATATTTGTTTTGGATTGGTTCATCACTGCCAGAGTTTTCTTGTTGCTAATTCCTACTGGCTAACAACCATCTGATCTTCAGTGTAGATGGAACCAACGAAGTGGGCAGCTGTTGATGAAAATGTGAAGTTGCTTGTTGGAAAAGTATTTTTGCGGCGTGTCAAGCTTTCAACCGACTTATTTAGGAGAATTGAATTAACACTGGTGTTGAAAATTTGGTGTTTTTTTCTTTATGTTTAGTGCAATAATAATAATTTGCTTTATCCCAAAACAGTACTTGTGATACAGAATGGAATTCTCAGCATTTCACTACATACAGTATTGCATCCAGTTAGTACATTAACAATAAATATAGTTCTACATAGATTAAGGTTATCTCGGTTAGTCTTGACAACAATATATTAGCATGTCGGTAGCAAAACCAAAATTGAACAGAGTGTTTGAAGGTGTTAGAGAGGAAGGTGCTAATATATTTGCTGGTGTAAGCGGTAACAAAAAGGTCGAGATATACAGAGTGTGAAAGAACGAAGAAGAAGAATGTTTTAAATAGAGTTTGTAAGGAAGAGAAAGAAAGAAAACAGCACATAACATTAAAAAGGAGGAGAGAAAAGGAAAAGAAAGAAAGAAGACGTTGTATGTATAAATGATATGAGTTAGAAAGACGAGATCCAGTTGTTCTACTGACTGTTCAATAAGTTATAAGTATCGCCCCTAATGCTTTCTTTATCGCACTGAACACGAGCTAAGTAGGGTATGGTTAAGTTGAGTTTTTGTACTTGCTAGTGCGAGCATATAATTTTCTATATAGGCTTCTGGTTGTGCCTGATGAGATACAAGGGGAGAGTTGTGAATGAAGAGAGTGGTGTGAGTTATATAAGATAGATTTAGCCCATTTTTCGCATGAGTCTATATACCTGTCGACCAGAATATTACAAGCTGGTTAAGTGACACGTCGCTTACCCTGCTGACAACCTTTAACATCTTACGTAATAAGATATAGTCTTTGTTCAGTAGCCCTGGAAAAACTAAGGGGGAACAACAGAGAATAGTAGGCAGGATGCAAGAGTTAACAAATTGTAGGAGTAAGGGTTGCGTTTGGTTATTCCAGAATATCTTAGCCTATAATATCTACATATTGCATCCAGTAGATATGCAAACTGATATCAAAGTGATGAAATGTCTGTCCTTGCCTTTCCAATTCTAAATTTGACATCCTTTTGCGTTCTGTCGCCTAAAGTCGAAACGGTGTTGCCATTTAGATTAGTGAAGGAAGTGACTACTTTCAAATTTCTTTCGTTGATAGTGATTGGTGTTTGTTGTTGTGGTGGTGATTGCTTGGTTGTTTTCACCACCTGTGTCTTCTCAATGTTTACTTGAAGTTATGTCTTTGCTGCTTCTTCTGTTAGCTTGTTGGTCTTCACCTGTGAGTTTTCGAGTTTATGTGACATTAGAGACAAATCATTTGCGGAGTTCAAGTCTTCTAGAATATTCTTATCGGTGCAAAATATTCCTGTCTTTTCGCCCCTCATACACAGTGTTCTGCATAAATCGATCAACCACAATTAGGAATATCATTGGTGGTGTATTAGGAAGGTTTGTCTAGCTCCTGTCTTCACTTCAAAAACTTTTCCAAGTTTTCCGTTGTGCATATATATATATATATATATATCCTGTAAAAATAACCCTTACTGTTACCGAATCTTCATAGCTGTAGGTCGAAGCCCTATGTTCCACTA